CAAACACTCACACTCACACACACACACACACTCTCTCTCACACACACACACACACACACACTCACACACACACTCACTCACACTCACACTCACACTCACACACACACACGTATATCACACAGTTTTACAATAAACTTAATGTGATGCATGTGTCATACATAAATGAAAAATTCACCTTTAACCTGGATTAATAAATGCTGTAAAACTGTTATGTAATGATACCCAATGCATTAATGTTAACAAACTGAACGCGTTGCTGTTATACTAAAGTTTGAAGCTGCATTTATTTGGTCAAAAATACAGTAAAAATTGTGAAATATTATTGCAATTTAAAATAACTGTTTTCTATGTGAATATCTGTTAAACTGTCATTTATTTCTGTGATCAAAGCTGTATTTTCAGCATCATTACTCCAGTCTTCAGTGTCACATGATCTTCAGAAATCAGTATAATATGCTGATTTGCTGCTCAAGAAACATTTCTGATTATTATCAATGTTGAACACAGTTGTGCGGCACAATATCTTTGTAGAAACTGTGATGCATTTTATTTTTCAGGATTCACAGATGAATAGAAAGTTCCAAAGAACAGCATTTATTTGAAATAGAAAGCTTTTGTATAACATTATAAACATCTTTACTGTCCCTTCTGCTTCTGTGTCTGGATTTGTCCCGTGTGAGTAAAGGCACTGATCTCTGCTCATGATCAGACGTGTTATCAGTCCTGTATTAGTCACTCGCTATCATTAAGAGCAAACAAACAGATAAACAACAGATCAATAATGTTGTAAACATGACCTGAAGCTCAGGTGTGACATTTACAGTCATCTGACGCTGATTCTTATTGTTCAGTATTTAGTCAAGTGTACTGCAAAAAAACAAAAAAAGAGTTTGTTTACAAATATTGAAACGTTCTTAAATCCAGATACATCTACTTGAAACACAAAATGACTTAAAGGAAATTGTTTTCTATAAAATTGATCAAAATTTGGTTTTTGCTTTTAAAACAAGAAAAAAATAAGCCAATGTGGCCAGAAAAAAACCCTGCTCAATTTAAAGAGAAAACATTTATTTTTCTGTCCCCATTAGCAGATATTTGTGTATAACATAATTACTTAATTTTGATATTTTTTCAGAAAGCAAGACTTTAAATCTTGTCATTTTGCCATTTATACACACACACACACACACACACACAATTTTTTATTATTTTTAAAAATAAAAAATGATTGATGATATATATAAAACACTTATTAAAATGATAAAAAATTATATATATATTCCAAAATGTTTCATATATATAAATTTTTTGCCGTGTATAATGACTCTAACGACTCTATATAAATGATTGCTGTCTCTGTGATTTCCTGTATTTTATGTCTCTCTCCACACTCTTTCTGCTCATGCAATAAAATTATTACAAATCAAACAGCATCATCAAACATGATAATGTATCGTCATCATAAATAAAGCACCTGAGTGTGTTATACAAGAGCTGACTGCTTCACGTCAGAGTTTTTTCCGTGATAATCATGTTACGCATGACTTATTTCATGACTTAAACGTGACATTCCTAATCAACTGAAACGTGTTAATGTGCCGAACAGCATCTCATCTTGTGTAAGAGTTTCAGACAAGTGCACAAGTTTCTCGAGAACATCTTCATCTGACGGCTGAGCTGTTCAAACGCCGTCCATCATTCATCACATCTCAAATCCCAGCGTGAGCCGCTGCTCAGTTATTATTTAGCATGTTGGACTTCAGTACTGTGGTATGGAATGCATATGGATTTATGACGCTATAGGGAGTATCTGTCAGATAAAACGCTCTTGAGCTGTAAACCCAGCCTTGTAAAGTCATTAAGCCTCAGTTTGATCGCTGTCAGGCCTGCATGATCACAACAGTTTCCATGCAGGAAATAAAGCTTTATTATGGTTTTTTTTTAGATTGTAATCAATGTTTATTATAGTAACACTGATGTGCTGTTATAGTTTTTGTTAATATTTTTAATAATATTTTATTTTTGATATTTTCAGATTTCACTTTAATTTTAGTTAAAGTTTTAGTAATTTTGTCATTTTAATTAGATTTTCTACCATTCAAAATTTTGGGGTCTATAAGATTTATATACTGTATATATATATATATATATATATATATATGA